TAAAACTAAATGTTTGTTAATCAGATAAACACTAGGCTGCTCAGCTTAGGAGAGTCGGAATTTATACCCACACATTTATATAGCCCAAAAATATGCATTAAAACACAGCCAATTAAGGTGGTATTCTCAGCGCTCCACTAATCCAGCAGCCCTTTTCCTCTCATTCGTGACGCTGCAGTCAGATGAAAATGCTTTAGCCAAAACTTGGGCCTGATCTTCCTGCCGTCCCCACTTCCAATTCATTGAACATCTACAGTCCTCCGCTCTAACAGCTGAGCTATCAAAGGGATGCTTTAAATCAGCAGATACAGTGAACACCTTCTTTACTGTTCAAGTGCAAAATTAAAACACAAATATCAATCAGCTAAAGGTGCATTTAACCCTTAGCCCTTAGTATAGCTATGTATGCTAACATTTAGCTCAATAACAAAAAGTAGTGCCGTTTTCCTTTAAAGTATAGGTATACTTCCTAAACATTATTTATCATGTGCAACAAAATAGCAATTGATGCCTTCTAGTCCTGACAAACAATGGGAGCTTGAATACTTTTATTGTAGCTATTTATGCTATGTGAGTTTATCCTTCAACAAGTATTGGCCAGGACGTTTCCATGCATGTGATTGACACTGCATTCAGGAAAGTCATTGTTGGTAGGACTCTAACCTGTACGGGGAAACCCCAAACATATGTCAAAGTATTGGAATACTTAAATGTATACCTTTTCAGAAGATGTTCCAGTTTTCCCAACACTGCCTTTAGAAGCCTCTTAATTCCAGACACAACATAACTGAAATTGCATGTGAAATTCTCTGTGAGCTTCATCAGGACTGCAACAGATTGGACCAAAGCCTGAACAGGGACTTGAACCCTGGACCCATGAGATTAAAAGTCTGATGCTCTACCAACTGAGCTACACAGGCCTGCTGAGAAGATCAATCCTGTGGGGATGTACGTTTGATAGAACTAAAAACTGTCAAAGGCTGTCAAAGTCAAATGTGATTATTTCACCTAATATTAGCCTCCTCTCTCTGATTTGACTGTTTTCTCTGTGCAGAATGTCCTTGCCATGGCCAGTATCTCCGCATGTGTGTTTCAGGCCAGCAGTGTAGGTGTACTTCACTGACAGCTGGATAAATGAGACATAACATTGACCAGGTCCAAATCCAGTCATGAACCAGTTGGTGTGACTTCCGGTTACCTGTGTGAAACACTCAGCTGTTAGGAAAGTTGTTGGGGACTCAGACTGGGAACCCTCTTGCTGTGAGGCGACACTTCTGACCACCACACCGTCGTGCCACCATTATTTTGTAATGTTTTTAATAAAACACTTAAAAGAAAGTATCATTGAAGTTCTGGGACACAAATGATTGTTTAGAGAGCAACAAACTGTTCTATAGCTAAAGCACAACAGTTGACTGTGTAAAGAACAAGAAGTCATATGAAGGACTCAGGCACTGCTGGGATTTGAACCCAGGATCTCCTGTTTACTAGACAGACACTTTGACCAGCTAAGCTACAGCACCTTGCATCTAATGCTAACATGCAGGATAAGCCAGGACTTTGGAACGACTTTACTTGATACATCATTGATCCCAAAGGAAATTATTTGTTGGATTTTAACCAGAGTGCAGAGAGCAAAGATTTTGTGATGTCAGCCTGTAGTTCCTGAAAGTAAGTGAAGCTGGTCTGACTCTCTGTGAAAGACCTTTTACAACCATGCCTCTCCCCATTGGCTACTGGGATAGGCTCCAGTTTCCCCGCGACCCCATTAGGGAATAAGAGGTTACGATAACTGATGGTTGGAAGAAACAAGTAAAAATAGCAAGTAAACACGAGTTATTTCTATTACTAAAAACATTTTATCTAAGAGGAACATTTCCCTAAACTATTCTACAGCTTTTGTATCAGATTGGACCACCTTGTTATCTCTATGAACATGAATCATGAAGGTAATGCTGGCTGTTCATGGTCTCATCTAAACTGACATGTACTCACAGCTTTGACTGAGTATTAATGAAAATCTATTTCTAAAAGGACACAATGAAAGTAAAACAGTCCACCTCTGTTAAAATGTCTAATGAACAACAGTTCACTTGTTCTTTTCCTCCCAAATAATGTGTGTTTAGTCAGCCTAATCGTTTGATGACTACATGCCCTGTTAAAATAGTACAGTAGGTCATCTGTGATTCCTATAGAAGATCAGAACTTATTGCTCATGTTAGCCTGTAAAGAATGTTGAAAACACAGCTGTAGAACTGCTTTGCATCTGCATCACTATTGCTGTGTCCAGATTAGATCTGAGAACTAGATCCATGTCCACAATAAGAGACATTTCTGCTCCACAGTCTGACCGTTTTCATCAGTCAGACCTCTTCACTTAGCATCATATTATTTCTGCAAATGTCCATGTTTTTTTTCTTCTTTTACATAAATAACAGACCAGCAAACATTTAAAGCTTGGAAACGGAAAAGTGCCTGTGCCTTTTTTCAAACCAGGGACCTTTCACGTGAGGCCAACTTGATGACCACCACACTACAGAAAATGTGCTCTTCTATTCTCACTGACTCTTGTGGAGGGGAAAACAAAACAGCTGTCTGTGGTATAAAGTGCTTGTCCTTTAAAATCTCACAGGTGGTAATGACATAATTAAAAGCAGACTTTCAGAAGTTGTAATCAAACCCACACCTGCTGGAGACACTGTAACCTTACATTGGCACCTTGGATGGCTCAGCCATCCCCATAAGGGAACAAGGTTCAAACTGGAGCTTTGTCCTGCTGTTGTCTCTGGGCTTTTCATTATATGGATATGTGGGGAAAAGTAGACTTTACACAATTTAAAGAGAAGAAGTGGCCTTATTCAGTAGCTCTTTGAGGTCAGAAATAGCAGTCAATCTTCCCTATTTCTCTAGAAAATGAGTAGTATTGAGCATTTTCTGTCTGTCTGTGACCGAACTTTTTAAGGAAACAGGTAGCAATCCTAAGTTGGTGTATAAAGTTAGATGCTTTGGCCGGGAATCGAACCCGGGTCAGCTGCTTGGGAAGCAGCTATTTTGACCACTATACCACCAATGCCACTTGTAAAAGTGTCTTTATGTGTTGAATCAAGGAAGGGCTGATGAGTGGTGAAGATATTGGACTGCCAAGTCTTTGCTCTCTGCACGCTCAGGTTAGAATCCAACCAACAATTTTGTATTGGAAATATGAAGTAGCAAGTAAAGTTGAATCTTTTTCAATCATCTGCTGCCTCCTTTTTGTTTGATTGTTTTATTTTACCCAGATGTATATAAATGCCTGTATGAAAATAGCAGCTTGTGATTTAGATGAGAGCTCCAGATGTGCTCCCCATTAAGTTTAGAGGTAAAAATAACCTTTTTAAGAGAAAGGGGAGCCTAAAGATTTAAATCATGGAAATGATAATTAGATGTTTAATTACATGAAAAGGGTTGTCTTTGAGGAGATGGATAATATTTACATTATTCCCACAGGGTCCCTGAGCATTCCAATAGAGGCAGAATTTGAGTTATTAAACTTAATAGTTTTTCATCTTCTTTTTGGTTTCAAAACAAACATTTGTCAGTGTGTTTTGCCTGGCCAAGTCAGAGGAGCATGACACTCTTAATCTCGGGGTTGTGAGGTTGAATGGGGATCCTTCAATGAGGGCATCTTTCATCCACAGCTCAGTGAAAGCCTCACATGGTCCTCCATGTTTCTCTGTCACCATAAGACTTTGACCTCTGTCCTCCCATGCTTAGGTCTCATTTTATGACAGCATTCTTCAGTGGAAATGTGCCACTTTGACATCAAAACTCAAACCAAAATGCACCTGCTCTAAACCATATTCACCCCTCACTGTTGGTGGAAGCCTCATGGTATCCTATTCAACTTAATTTGGGGGAAGTAATGTTGACACTTTTTGAAACAGACCTCAGGAGCTGTAACTTCATCAGATGAATACTCATTTAATGCTCTTCAGATCATTGTCAAGAACATTTGAACCACTTTTTTGTCACATTTATCCAGCGTTTCTCCTATTAGTGTTATATTTGTTATAAGGGCTCGTCTGGGATTTCAACCCGGGACCTCTCGCACCCGAAGCAAGAATCATACTCCTAGACCAACGAGCCACTTTTACCACTCAAGCTAAATCAAAACAGAAGGGAGTCTGCATCAGAACCCCTGAGACCATGGGAGGGCAGGGAGGAGGAAAAGGGGGACGCACTAAAAACTGGACCAGAAACAGGCACAAAGACTGGAGTTCACCAAACTGAGAGCTGGGAGGCAAAGATGATGGAACCAAAGCACCTGCTGCGGAACCAGACCAGGAACCAGCTCCACAGGACTCACACAAAGAACACAAGCAAAGACACAAATTGGGCAAAACTGTCTTTAATCTGTACAATAGTCTTTTATAGAACAAAGAGATACAGAATCTGCCTCCAACTGGTGTGTCCAGTTAAACAGCTTCAGTTAAACATCCAGCTGCATCTCTGTGTCCTGCAGGACTCTAAGCGGGGACATCTGAGCATCAGCCTGGACCTGAGAAGGTCTGCGAGGAATGAGACACCCTGAGATGGACAGCTGTGCAGAGGCAGGGTAACAGGGTAGAGACGAGGATGGAGGGTAGAGATGAGGAAGGAGGGTAGAGACGAGGAAGGAGGGTAGAGACTAGGAAGGAGGGTAGAGATGGGGAAGGAGGGTAGAGACGAGGAAGGAGGGTATGAGGAAGGAGGGTAAAGAAGAGGAAGGACGGTAAAGACGAGGAAGGAGGGTATGAGGAAGGAGGGGATAGAAGAGGAAGGACGGTAGAGACGAGGAAGGAAGGTAAAGAAGATGAAGAAGGAGGGTAAAGAAGAGGAAGGAGGGGAGAGATGAGGAAGGAGGGCAGAGACGAGGAAACAGAACTTGTGTTGGGGGAGTCTAATTGGTGAATCCAGAGCAGCTGGAGCTCATTTCATCAGTCAGAGAAAAGCAAAGAATCCATCAGCCACCAAGCAGCCAATCAGACCGATTCTTCAGCCATCAGAGGAGTTGGATCGATGTCCTCTGCTGGATGCTGGACCAGATCTCTGCCTGCAGAGGAGACAGAAGGCAGTCAGACACAAACAAACAGACATAACAAACACAAACAAACAAACCTGTGACTCTCAGGTGGACCGTTATCTTCCTCCAAACCCTGCTGCTCTCCATCCAGCATCTGTACTCTCCACTGTCTCCGACAGTGGGCTGGACCAGAGTCAGACTGAGGTCTCCGGTTCTCAATGGGTCTTCATCCATCCTGGTTCTGTCCCTGTAGACCTGGTCCTGTTGGTCAGTTTGGTTGGAGCCCTTCTGATATTTGTGGACCCTCGTGAACTCTGGTTTAACCCATTCCCACAAAATCATGGTGTCCTCTGGCAGGTCAGAGGTTGTTTTGAAGGGTAGCACAACAGACTCCGCCCCCTCCTCCACTTCCACGTGATTGGCTGACAGAAGGACAAACTCAGCTGGGATGAGTGAGCCCCAGCTTCTGTTTCTCAGCTGATCCACACAGAGTATCAGTTTCAACCCCTGACCTTTGACCTGTACCCACAGCACTGACCTCTGACCCTGAGATCCACTTGTTTCCTCATCAGGACGTCCCCCTCTCTGCTGTAGACACTACAGGTCACAGTGTCTGAGTATTTGGGTTCGGAGACAGTCAGACTGAGGTCTCCAGTTCCCAGAGGGTCTTCCTCCATCCTGGTTCTGTTCCTGTAGAACTGGTGCTGTTGGTCAGGTCTATCACAACCGTTCTGATACACATGAATAACAGTGTTTCTATCATCTCTCCACTCCACTTTGGCGTCTCTGGGAAGCTGAACTGAGGCTTTGCAGGGTATATGGAAAAGCTCCACATAATCCACCTCCACCTGTGGAACTGAGGACAGACACAGACAGCAGCAGCTCTGAGAACCCGTCTGCTGGGTGGAGGCAGGAAGGACGCCATGTTCAGTACTGACCTCTGACTTTGAGCACCACTTGTCTCTTCATTAAGACTTTTCCATCTTTGTTATAGACGCTGCAGGTGTAGAAATCCATATCTTTATCTGTGGGATGTTTCAGAATTAGATCAAAGTTTTTCTTCATCTGGGTTCTGTTTCTGTAAGGCGCATCCTGTTCTGCAGGTCGATCAGAGCCGTTCTCAGACACACGGACCTTCCAGCCATCATTATCTCTCCACAGCACTTTAGTTGCTTTACGCTGGTGAAACAGAGCTCTGCTGGGCAGCCGGACAGACTCCACACCTGAATCCACCTGCACAACTGAGGTAAAGCAGCAGAACTGATTATGTATGCATAATTTAAAAATATATATTTTGTCAGTCTATACCCTCCATGGAATAAAGACACAAAGCTGGATCAGAGCTGTCTGTGTTTACTCTGTGTAACAGGTTCAGAACCTTTACTGAAAAGCTCGTCTGGATCCTTTTATCCGCTATGGACCTGACATCAGGGGTCTGAGGGAGTTAAGCTTCTGAGTGGGCTGAATATCTACCTGCTGTGTTGTTCCCAGATGAGAACAAAGTCTGTCCAGTTTACCGTCTTGTACAAAAACTCACCCCCAAGAAAGTAGTAATGATATAAAAGGCCTCCAGTCACAAGAACAGCAACAAGAACAGCAAGAACCGAGACGACTGGGATCCAGACTGGAAACGGTGCTGTGGAGAAAAAGACCATGACTGTGTTGTTGGAGCCTTTTGAAGTGAATAAAATGTACTAGCAGTGGTTTTCCAGAGAAACTTAGCACTCAAAGCACTTTACACTGCAGTCATTCACACACCACTGGGCAGCCTGAACATAGAGTCAAACCACTGACCCTCCAATCAGAAGCCAGCTTGCCTCCTTTGACCTATACCTACATCTCTGACCTTTGACGTGTATCTACAGATATGACCTATGAGCTGTCCTTAAAGGTCTGACCTTTGACCTGTAGATCCACTCTCTGCCTCAGGACGTCTGGGCCTGTGTGAACGGTGCAGACGTAGCTTCCTGAGTCTCTGACTGTGGGCTGTCTGAGGGTCAGACTGAGGTCTCCAGTGCTCAGCAGGTCTTCCTTCATCTCTGTGCGGCTGCAGTAAAGATCGTCCTGTATCTGACTCAGCTTTGGAAACACATGGACTACCCTGGGAGGCTGAGAGAAGGTCCACTCCACTGTGGTGCCTGTGGGGAGGCCAGCTGCTGCTCTGCAGGGCAGCAGGACTGACTCCGCCCCCTCAGTGGCCCCCACCTCCGCCTCCTTATTGGCTGAAAGGACAGCACCATGCAGCGATAATGAGCTGAAGGTTCAGACACAAAACCTCTGACCTGCTGCCTGCTGCTCACCTTTGAGCTTCAGAT